TGGAAAAAGTGTGTCATTTTCGGGCATCATCGGAAGTTGTCGTGAGCGTTCGGTTAGAAGTTGTCGTTCGTACACTTGCCAAACAAGACAGGAAGAAGACCGTTGTCATACCTAACCTAACCTAACGACTCCCTCCTACTTGAGAAACGATATATATATATATATATATATATATATATATATATATACGACTGCGCGCACGACGATTTACGACAGCTACCGATGATGCCCGAAAATGGCACACTTTCTCCAACATGGCGCTGTTCAAGTGGGGACAGAAAATTTGCGCTAGAAAGGGGGCATCCACTATCCAGTTATAATATAGATCAGTGAGTGGAGATCCAATACCAATAGATGATCCTGCATTACATTTGCCTGCTCCATGGGAAGATATTTTAGAAAATGGAAATATTCCTTGCAGAAACGATGGACTGTGTAATAATAATAGTATGCAACATGTATTAATCAATGATTATTTTCAAAGGTAAGGAAAGATTTATGTAGCAAATTATATACAATACATTCTATCGAATTTAACTACAAAATATTAAGTTGTATAAAAATACATTGTTGTATAAAAATACAACTTAATATTTTTTAGTTAAATTCGATAGAATGTATTGTTAATAAATTCTGGATATTTCTATAATGTACAAGAAAAATTTGTCATTTTTTATTGTTTCTTGATATAATTTTGCTATCAGTTAACTCTTTATACACTAATAAAAACGTATTTAACATATTATATACATAATTACTTTTCAGCTTAATATAAAACAATTAATTTTGATGGTTTATTATAATTTTTTCTACAAGTGAACAAGATTATTTCAATAATTACTTTAAACAAGAAGATCATGATTTATTGAACGTCTACTGATATGTGTAAGAAATACTGCATTTGGGATTATCTGATAATGACATAAAAGATTATTGAAAAATATCATTTTAGGAACTAGTATTATACGAATGTCATGAAAAAATGTACAAACATTGTATTGTCATGTAACTTATATAATTAACATCTCAATAAATGTATTGTTACATATTTTAACATATTTTGTCCACTAATTAACATATTTTGTCCTTTTTGTTTTTTCAGTATTTTAAGATATCAATTTAAAATTTCTTTCATATGGAGTAACTTATGCTAAAGAACTTAATACACTTACTATAAAGTAAATCACTAGCACATCTCAGTATAAAGCAAACCATTATTTAGTAAATTTAGTATAAAATAAAAGAACCCAAGACAATTTCAATGTGTTAAGTAATACATTTTAAACAAAACGTTTAATGTATGCGACATCAAAAAATAAATAGGTACTGTTACGTCCGATTTTATAAGGGGACGCGTGTCTCGTGACGAGACGAGGAAAATGAGAGAACAGGGTGGTTAAATGAATGAGCAGAACATCTTTGGAGGAACTAAACTATATATTACAAGAGAGATATTGTGTATGTACATAAGGAGGGGAGGGCGAGAGAGAGGGAGAAAGAACAGGGGCCTCTTTAGCCCAGCGAGGGCATGTCGTTGGCGGCTCGGAGCTGGGTCCTGGGCCGTCCGACGATCCTGATCTTCTGGGGGAGGGCCTCAATTCTGACGATGCAGGGCCGAGTCTGGGGCGGGGCCATGCGTGGTTGCCGTGGTCTTGGTTCCTGCGGTGGCCTTGGTTCCTGCGGTGGCCTCTTTGCTGCATCAGCCGGTGGTGCAGGAGGCGCGCTGCCCAGGCTGGATCTTGGAGGCCTCGATGCGGGGGTGATCGGCGGGCGCGGAGCCCACGTCCTGACCGGGCAAGGGTCCGGTGGCCTGTATGGAGGTGGGAGGCGTGGATGGCAGGGGGCTAGCGGAGGGTTGTTGGGTGCCGGAGGGTGAAGCGGGAGAGCGGGTGGTTGAGGCTCTAAGGGCCTGTCAAATATCCTGGGGTCAAAGACCCCAGGGGTAGCGTACGCTCGTGCTAATCGCCTGAGCTGGACCTTGCGTCCAGCTCGTCGCGACCTGCCCATGTCTGGGCGTGCCTGCGGGAAGCATCTCGAATTAGGCGTGTTATAAAGCGGGGGAAGCAATGCATGCTGTTAGTCATGATTACAACTTATGCTAATTTACTATTATAACTCCCTTAAGTAGGCACTCAGAGAAGGGTAGTGGTTTCAAAATCGCGGGGGATGAACTGAAATTGAGACTTCATATGTTGTGGTTTTAGTAGAATGCTCAGATGGATTTTTCGATTATGATAATCGATTCATTGCCGTCATCATCGCACTCTTGGCAACTTCTGATTCATTTTAATGTAGTAGGGAGACCCGAGAGTGAGTACTTTGACTGCGGTTAACGTTAATCTGCAAATGGAACGCGTAAGTGGCAAATCAAAAGTAATTACGTTGACTACTTCATCGCACAGAACGAAATAACTAAGGTTCATAACCATTCGAGCGTAAGATAGGTAGATTTCGCTGTGTGCCAATCTTAGGACGAGATTCTGTCTGTTCGAGGGGACTCTGTGAAATTGCCCCTGGAACGACTGGGAACTGATGTTGGTTAAGACGGAGAAGGTCCCCCTTTCTTTTGCGGGGTTCAGACCAGGTGACTGGTGTCGACGACGTGGAGGAGGTCGGTGAGGACTGGCGGCTCAATGCCAGTTCGAGGTAAGGTGGTGATTTCCCGCCGGAGGAACGCCGATGGCGGCGCGCAACCGGAGGTGGAAGAACCGGAGGAACGCCGATGGAGGCGCGCAACCGGGGGTGGAGAACCGGAGGAACGCCGATGGCGGCGCGCAACCGGACGGAGAACCGGAGGAACGCCGAGGGCGGCGCGCAACCGCAGGTCAGAATAAGAAAATGAAAAGAGAAACTAGACAGAGACAGGAATATCGGTAGAGGTAAAGAGAGATAGATGTATAGCTGAGCGTCGTCGTCGAGGAGGTGGTTTCCTGGTGGTCGTTGTCGTGGGCCACAGAGTTTAGCACACGCGGTAGAATCTCGCACTAACGGGATGCCGACTTAGCCTATGGTGACCGGGGGTGGAGAACCGGAGGAACGCCGATGAAGGCGCGCAACCGTAGATGGGAAATCGGAGGAACGCCAGTATAAAGGCGCGCAACCGCAGGTCAGAATAAGAAAATGAAAAGAGAAACTAGACAGAGACAGGAATATCGGTAGAGGTAAAGAGAGATAGATGTATAGCTGAGCGTCGTCGTCGAGGAGGTGGTTTCCTGGTGGTCGTTGTCGTGGGCCACAGAGTTTAGCACACGCGGTAGAATCTCGCACTAACGGGATGCCGACTTAGCCTATGGTGACCGATGGTTAAACACCTTAACTTACGTCGAGGATCGCGATGTGGCTTATAATAGTAACACTCCAGGAGTCAGAGGTAGGCTCTTTGTCGGGCAGAGGTTCGTTCCTCGCAAAGCTCGGAGAACTGAATGCGTATTTCGGGCTCCGAGGCCCGGCTTTTATACTGTTAGCTTCTAGGGCAAGTGCGGAAGTGGTGATGAGCGGGGGCCCTTCGATCATTTTCCGAATTTATTAATTTGTACTTTAATTAGTACTCCGACTAACTTGAGTCTTGGTTAGCTTAAAAGGGGGCCGTCGCTCGTCATTTTCCCGCTTATTCCCTATTAATTGCATTTTGCGTTCCCGAATTATTAACGCGCATACCAATCTCGCGTTTTTATGCGTAGAATTCCGTTATGCCGTTCCGAAGCACGTAAGCATGGAAGGTTCTAGAATATCGTCGCTACGATATTAAAAGTACTAATTTCCCGTGGTTTGAACGCGCGGTTTGCCGCGGCGGCTTGAAGTGGAGGCGCGTAGCGCCCCCGTACGTGGCTGAGATCAACGGGTCGAGTGGAGGTAACTCTGTTCTCGAGAACCGTTGATGTCAGCGTTTTAACAGCTTATTTCTTAATAATTAACGCAGATTCTTCGGATTTCTTTTATTAGGGCGAAAGCGGAGGCGCCAAAGGTCGGCCTATTACAGTGGTTGCCTCGGCTGTCGCGTAATTAATCCAGAAACGATAGTAGAGAAAAAAAGAATAGAGAACGTATAAGATCACGTGCCGCGCGCGTGCTACGTGCCGCGTCGCGCCGGAGCTCTCTATCGGGTGGGCGATCATTACTGCTTCGTGAAAAGTGACGTTTGACGAAAAATAATTCATCGGACGTAACAGTACTAATATACAATTAATGTTATAAAATAAATGTAGGAACTAATACAATGGATGGAATAAGTTAGATTTTTAATATAGCTAGCTTATTCTCTATATCTCTTTGGTACATTAATATTGTAATTTACTCTCTATGTTTAGTATCACTTGTTAGACATAGTATAAACACAAATACTTTAATAGTGTATTTTAACGAATACATAAATCTTTTACTGAAAAACATTCAATATATTCCAAATAAAAAATAATAGAATCAATAGAAGAACGGAATAATTTTTATTTCTTTTCATAAGAATTTAACTGTTTCTCAAGAAGTTTAACGTTAAGGCTTTCTTTTTTAATTGCATTTCTAGAACTGCAATTTCTAATGATGTCTTTTTATGATGATCTTCTTGCATTACTTCCACTAATTGTAACTTGGATTGCGCAAGGTCATAATACCATTCATTACGTTTATTAGCATTTATTTGAAGCTGTTTTGATTTTTTACGTTTTAAACTTTGATTTGGTGAACTATTTGTTCTTACTGGATTGCAGTTTTCCTTAGAAGATTGTACAAGAATTCTTTCTACATCTTCCAATGACAATGGATCTTCGTTTTTATCGTTCTTTGAGACCTGCAATTCTTTGCTCTTCTTGGAATTCAACTTGGCTGGTGTCCAGTCAGCCCAAGTTGAAGTTGCAGCCTCATTTTCTTCTTCAATCATCTGTAACAATACAAATATTTTAAAACAATATTTTTACCAATATTTCATTATAAAATATATAAAATAAATAAATATTTTAAATATATATGTGCGTATGTATGTGTACCTCAACTGGATAACAGTCTTCATTGTCTTCTAACTGTGGTTTGCTGCACTGTGGATCATCTATACCTGCAATACACATATTTTATCAGAACTATATATTTATCAATACTAATAAAGAAACCATATTTATATATTTTTGTTTATTGTATTTTTATAGCATACCGGGTATATAATCACTATCAAAATTATTTTGTAGACCCTCAGCTGATGGCTGAATAATACTTTTTACTTTTTCAGCAATTGGATCATCAATGATATTGATCTTTCCACCGCCTGTATACAAAGTACCGAATTAATATGATGTGTACACAAAGAATATTGATATTTAGTCTTCATGGCTTCCGGATGGTTGCCGCGTCCGTTTGCAGTGTGGTGCCGACGTTTCGCAGGCGTTGCAGTCTGCTTCATCAGGGCTGGGAGACTCTGATACTGAGCTCCCTCGCGTTGCGCTCGTCCTTTTATACTCGTTCTTGGGGGGAAGGGAGGGGGTAGTCAGGGCGGCGTGGTCAGAGGGAGGGGAGTCAGCCAATCCCTGCTGACGGAGGGGAGTCAGAGGGAGGGGAGTTA